AATGAAAGAGGGGCAGATTCTATACAGCAGGTACCACTGAGGCAAGCCCCTCCCCCGACTAGGATTGCTCTCAGCATTGGTCAGTACAGCCGGATTCTAGCCCTTTACAAGCCTGGCAGACCCTGGAGCCCAGGCTTAGCCTCTGCTCACCTCCCTGTACCCTGCGGGTGAACTTGCCAAGCATCGTGCAGGACAGCAAACCATTTTTCTTTTTAATTAGTCTATCGATTCCTTTCAGATATGATGAACCTTTGGTGCCATTGGCCAGACTCTGTCTTGGACGCTAGTAGTTAATCATTCTCAAACCCAGATGTCCCCAGACCCTCCGTGTCTGTATCGAGGGGCAGCCAGTGAGGGTAACATGCTGCAGACCCCGAGTCCAAGTGGAGGGACCACGGTCATACCTACCCGCAGCACACCAAAGGGCCTGCCACCTGGACCATGTTTGTTTCCCTCTTCAGAGTGAGGACGAGTCAGCTGGGGGTGGGAGCTCATGAGCAGTCAGTCCCTGGCCCCCCAGAAGCACCACCCCACTCTGGTCAAGCACTGACCATGGGCAGCATGGGAGGCACGCGGGCAGCCCTCCTCTGTTGCTGCTGACCCTGATCTTGGTGTGGGCCTGGGTCTCCCTGCTGTAGAGCTGCCTGGTTACAAGTAAGGGATGTAGGTCTGTCTCCCGGAGCCACACAAACCCCTCCGACCGCTGCTCTGTGGGTGGGGCGATGGGACCTGTTGTTTAGGCCTCAGACACCTCCCACCCAGGGTCAAGAAGCGCTTTCACCCCAGCTGTGTGTGTGTGTGTGTGTATCCCCGCTCCAGGCCTCAGCCGTGCACACCCTCGCCTGTGTGCTTCTGCTCCAGAAAGGGAGCTGCTGCCCTGGCTCCACCCTCAGGTGGAGGAGGCTCGCTGCGTGCTGCGTGCTTGGTGTGTGTGCAATGTCCCTGTTTGTGGGAAGGGTAGATGCTCTGGGTGGTCGCCACTAGCTCGGCCCCCTGGCCCCTTTACAGTCCTCAGAAGATGGGCCCCACTGACCCTGACCTCAGGATGCTCACAGGATGCGGGCTCCCCCCAATTCACACCTGGATGCTCGCAGCATGCAGGCCAGCCTGCCTCAGGTTGCCCACGAAGGGTCCAGGGAAGAGTCCCGCTTTTTTCCATTTCAAATATCACATAAATCTTACTGGGTGGCCGGTCCCTGGGACATGGTCTGTAAGACACACACAATGGCGGTGAGACTCCCCGTGTTGGAGGCTTGGGCGCTTCTGGGCTGCACCTGAGTTGTGACCCTGGGGGCCCAGGGGTGAGAGGGAGATGCCACTGACCGCTGACCACCCACTTCCTCCATTAGGCTGCCCCCTTCTCCCATCTCTCCTTGTAAAACAGAAACAAACCCACGTGTGCTTCTTTCACGGCCATCCCGGTTTTAAAATGACTAAGCTGTTTTCTTTACGTTATTGTAAGGACCTCTTGTCTGCCTTAGTCCTCCTGAAAAAGAAAACGAACAGACGCCCCCAGCGTCACAGGGCAGACGGGCAGACAGCTGGAGGGGAGCCCAGGAGGCCTCCGCACAGTGAGGCAGCGAGCACTGATTGGGAAGGGGCAGGTGGGCTTCCTGGCCTCTGCGGTGATGCAGGCCTCTGCCTGGGATACAAAGCCCTGCATCTACGGCCCCTCCCCGGGGCACCCGCTGCTTAGGGCATGTTCCCTTCTGCTGTCACTCCGTGTGGCCTGTTTTTCACCTCGGTCCTATCTAAGTTATGAGGCAGCCCCTCTGGCCGGCCAGGACTCGTGCAGGCAGTGTTGTTTTTAAGGAGTCAGGACAGTTGCTCCCCCTCAACGCAGAAAGACGGGGCCTGCTTTCTACTCCCACGAGGGAACTCACAGGGCAGTTCTACTCTGTCCCCGAGGGTGGCTGAGTGCGTGAGTGGGGACCTGTAGGGGCACAGGCGGGAGGCTACCCAGGCACAGGAGGCAGGGCTCTGAGGGCGGGCACGGCCCAGGGAGGTGACAGCAGGACAGTCAGTCACCTGAGGGAGGTGGGGCTGGAAAAGCAAGACAGGAGGGACCTCTCACGTGCTTACAGAGCCCTGCCACTTGGAGTGACGCAGCAAGGACGGGGGTGGGGGTGGGGGGTTGCCACGTTGGCATCGCTGGCCCAGTGAGGAGGGTATGGAGGTGCCACCCTGAGTGCCCAGCTGGAGGACTTGGTGAAAGCTCGGACTTGAGGACCTTTGGGAACTGGCCCACCCTTAAAACCAGGTGTACTCTGCCCCTTCACCCGAGCTAGCACCGGCCCACCCCCAGCCTAGACTTCCCCCGCAGGCCTTGGGAAAGGGCCAGGGGCTCAGGATGCTGTCTGAAGGCAAAGGAAGCCAGGAGGCCCTCGGAGCTCCCAGAAAGCACCCCACACGAGGAGGGAGACAAGTTGTCAGGCGCTCCCTAGGGAGCTGACAGTGAACCCCAGAGAACTGGGAAGGGTGGTTGAAACACCACTGCCACCTGCGGCATGCTCTCGAGGCTCTTGTTTGCTTTGAAAATGAGACGTCTAAGTCCGCCAGGTGCGGAGAAAAGAGCATTTGTTTACCATCCCTTGCTTTCATTTGCTGTGCTGTTGTCAATGTTTTGTTGGCTAAGGCACTTCGAGGGAGCAGAAACAAGGCTTGTGTTTAGAATTGTGTTTGGGAAGCTCCATATTGATTTGTCTCGTCGGTTGGTTCCCACTTAATTTGGCACCATCGATCCCATTACTGAGTGTCAACCCCTTGTAACAAGAACCGTCTGGGCAACAATGGGCTCTCTCTGTCATTGGGTCTCCTTAGGGACCGAGTCAAGAAGTTCGGGGATACCTCTTGATCATCCCCCCGGTGGGTCAGCAGGTGGCGCCCCAGCCCCAGGAAGTGCTGATTCTTTGCCTGTGAGCATCTCCGCCCTCCTGGGCAGAGTGGCTCAGATGCAAACTTAGGAGGTGGCATGGAAGGAGCTAAGCCTTTTCCCTTCTTGTAACACTCTCTGTGCAGCCTAAAGGCCCACGGCTCTGTGCCAGCCTCCGAGGGGTCTGCACGGTTTGGAGGTCCACCTCATGTCCCGCTGTGAGCATGGGCACGGGCAGGTAACGGCATCCTAAGTGAAGTTGAATTTGTAGGCAAACCAGAACAGTGCACATTTGTTCTTTAGTGTGAGAAAAGCAAGCCTTGGGGCGTGGTGGGTTAGGTAGTTCAAAACCACCTGCTACAAGTTGGCATTGGCTCAGTGGCAGTGGTTTCTGGTTTCCATGCAAGACAAGCTTCCACCTCTGCCCATGATCTAAGAGCTGCACCTGCAGCCAATGAGGATCCCGGTGATGGAGACTCTCTTGTGAGTGGGGGCTGGTTACATCGTTACAAAGGGAGGGCAAGGGGGTCTCAGTGACTTAGTGAGTTGTGTGTTGGGCTGCTAACCCCAAGGTCAGTGGTTCAAATCTACTAGCCACTCCTAGGGAGAGAGATGAGGCTTTCTGCTCCTGTTAAAGATGTACAGCCTCAGAACCCAAAGGGACAGTTCTCCTCTGCCCTGAAGAGCCCCCATGAGTCAGAATGCACTGGTTGACAGTGGGTTGTTTGCCTGCCTGTCTGTCTGTAAGGACTAGCTAAAGTCCCTAAGTCAAAGATTCGTCATTGGAGACTTAATTGTATACAGGAATTATGGTTGACCGTTTGAAAGGATGTTAATGTCTGGACATTTCAATA